TATCTTATAAATATAATACAATAGCTTATAATATTTTTTTTTTTTTTTTTGGAAATCAATTCTGTCATTTTTATTAGCATTTGACCAATTCCTGTCTAACAACAAATACATCAATAAATTCTGTTTTTATCGTCAACATCAACAATTAATTGGAGAGCTTTATAGACATTTTTTCCAAATCACCAATTGCAGAAAAGCATTATTGGATGTGAACATATAAACACAACTGCCTTTTTGTTTATACTGTATTATCCCTCGACAACATGTAAACAATAATTTTTTTAAATATATATTTTTTTCTGATATCACTTCGGGTTGGCAATGTTGTTGACAAGTTCTCATTTAGAAAACACCAATTGTTTTCATGCAAATAAGACAAGCTCTTAACATTTACAGGGTATTATTAATTTATTTCAACTATGTTTTTTAAGGGTAGTCCATTCAGCAGAAGCCAATCATTTACATCATTAATGGAAAATAATATTATTCTTTTGGTACACCATGTGGCATGCAACAACTCTCAGTTAATGGCATTTGGTAGAGAAGAACGCTTTCGTTTGCGATTTCCCAAACTTTTGATTAATAGGCCTACGCTCTGTCTCAAGGGTTTAAACAGAAACATAAATTGCTATATTCTATAATCAGAAATCACAGTTATTCTAGACTACTATTTAATCATTCTTTGTCCTGTTGCCTAAAGATTTGTCCCATCACCTATTTAATAATTTACAGTAGTGTATTTCTGTTATTGTTCATATAGTGTATGGTACATTTTATGTATTTTTGTGTTAAAATTGAAAATTTAGTGCGAAAAATATTTTGAATCTTGAAATTTTTTCGTTCATTCTGCTAATGGTTCTATTCTTATATGGTATATAGTACACCTTAAATTACAGATTTTTCTTTTTTGAAATTAAGACTAAATTTGAGTTGAGTCATGGCATACTGTGGTTGAGTAATTATTGAGCAAAGTACAGTGCTATGTTAATTGTGTACATACTTCATTTTCATAGACTGTCTCACCTCTTATCATATACCTGTAGGCCAACCATAACCTTTGCGAATACTTCCACACAAATTAATGTATGTCATGTCTGTGTTAAGCTAAACAGAACTCATATAAATTTGAATATCTAATATTTAATAGCTTTTAATTGTAAATTTGAATAAAAAATCTGTACGAATAAATTGCATTTAACATAATTCCTACATTCTACAGTACAGTACTATATGTATAGACCCTTAAAATTGGGTAGGCCAAATGAACTTTGTGTTAAGCTATCAGAGCACATATAAATTTGGATATCTATATTTAATAGGTTTCGATTGTAAATTTGAATAAAAAATCTCTACGAATAACTTGCATTTAACACAATTACTACATCTACAGTACAGTGTGTGTAGACCCTTAAAATTGAGTTGTAAAAGGCCAAGACTTGTTGGTTTCACATCCAAGATTTGAAATTATTTTTTGGTGAGGGTATTATTTGCTACTATCTTACAATATACTAGTGTTAAACAGCTGGTAATATACAGTAGACAATTTGATCGGGTTTATTTGAAACAGCGCCGCAAACGTCTCGCAACTCACTGGAGGAACTCCAATGTCCTACATTAGCCTGAGCAGCTGCATATTTACAAATAGAGCACCACGCTGCGTATAGCGCCGCTAGACCTTTGCTATAACGCGGCAGTAGACAACAGATACAATCTTGCTAAAACTCTAATTGCTGTTTATGGTAAACATTGAAATAGCTTTTAAAGACTAGTACTTGTTTTTAATATACTGTAAACATTTCGTGTTTTTTCCATTTCAAAATATTTGTGCTCGTTAGTAATTTAGTTTTATCGTTGATTTAATCCATGATGGTAAGTACGTAGAGCGAAATGCTAGGCCTTTGAAAGTCCCAGTGGTAGTTGCTAAAATAGGTTATCAGAAATTTTCATTTTAAATTTCGCGAAAATGGTCGGTAGTAAAACAAAACTTTATTAAAGAAAAGGTGAATACATTAATAATGTATTGTGTCATTATGTTTCCATCTCTTCTTTAGGCTATGAAAGCAATCTTTCAGATCGTCATTATTTTTATTTTCCATGGAAAAATTTTTTTTTTTTTTTAAATAGCAAATTAGTGATTTCATGAGGCTCCAAATGAGGATGGGGACATGAAATCAAGCAATTCATTTTATTTGGTCTAATCAAAGTACAAAGTGGTTTGATTTGTGTCTCATTGGAGGGTGCTAACTTATTTGATCCCTTTTGAGCATTTTACAAAGTGATAAAAGTACTTTGGCTTAGTTTATTACTTTTTATACTCTTCACGGTAGTCTTTTTCATATTTATTTAAATGAATAGCACTCAAGCTGATATTGCTACACAAGCTACTATTGACTATGATTACAATGTATCATGAACAACGCATCACACTAGAATGTTAAAATAGAAAAAGAAAAGAAATTATGAAGTCTACAATGATTATAATTTCCAATGATGATTGTGTGACCACTACAGTTAGTGTTTATCAGAGAAATACACTGTAATTCTTTTTTTCTTTCTTTAAACTGGGTAAACACATTCAGTCACAGAGTGCCTAGTATACAACACAGATAAAATATTAAAATAAAAAATTACAAGAAATGTGTTTTGTACTCATTAATAAAATGTACTTAATTCCAATAATTAAATGCCTATATGTATATAACGGTTGTGTTTTATTGTATTCAATCTGTAACCAACCAAGAAATAATTTATAGCCTTTAGGTTTGAGAAACACAACAAACGAGTATTATTAATAGCAATAATGATAAGGTTAATTAACTTCATGAATAAAGTTCAAGAATAATTATTAAAAAGTTTGTATACAGTAGTGCTATCTAGGCTTGTATATAGGTATGTATGAGTAGATTAAAAACAAATAAACATGCAAAACCAACAAAACAAATTAAAATGTAAATAATAATAAAATGTTACTGTATATTATGTAGTGAATCTTGGTTCATTTCAGATTGCCGCATCGTATGCAAATCAAGTGTACATGTTTGAACCTGTACCAACTACAGTCAGTAAGGTAGACTCTGTAAGTATAAAAAAAATAGGCTCTCAGCGGGAGTGTGTGTTTATGCCCTATAGTATACTGCCTTATTTACTGTATTGTTTACTAATAAAATATCCACATGCGATTCGGTTATCAGGAAACGTGTGGTGTTGTATGTCTTTTTATGACGTTTATACATTAATAAGGTACTTACAGTAAGGTAACACATGAACCATCATGCACCTCCACTGGATCCTTTCAGCCAAGTATGAGACGACAACATAGTGTCTTTGCTCCTGAGGGGGCATATTTAATACAAAAACCAGAAAAAAAGCGGGGATGTACAGTATTCAAAGGGCCTAGTCCCTACATATTTGAAAATAACAGTGGCAATCTCACTTGGTAGTTTTTAGAAGCTCCTGATTTGGAGGCTGGATATTTATCCAGCAGTAAGAAAGTATCTGCTGAACAAATTACTAGTCAGATTTTCAGACTCAGCAGCCAACCATGCTTTAGTTGAATTAGTAGGATTACAGGTATATAGATTTTATTTCTAGATTAAACTTAAAGCCAGGCTCTGAGGAAAAAAAAGTGTTCATATGTTGTACTGCTGATTTTCCTTAAAAAACGTGGAAATGGTTAATGAGATACAGATTTTTGAATATTAATAAACTTGGGGAAATGGGGCGTAGCCACCCTTTCCTTTGGTTACGCCCTTTTCCCCTTCAGTTTTAAATATTCAAAAATCTGTATCTCATAATAACTATACCAAGTTTTTCGTCAAACACTCATTTTGTGTCCTAAAAAACATGGTTGTACAAATATTATTTTCTTCTGGAATCTTTAAGATTAACATCCAGTTTCCTCTAACTTTTTGTTTACTATTACTTTTCTAAGTGTCTTCTATAATAACTGTTTATAATCTTGTAGCATTTGCTCTCAAGATGAACATTACCATATTATTATCTTGTAGCCTCAGGACAAAATTGGATACAGTAAATTGCTGTTGAACACATGGAATTAAGTTTTATTTTCTTGAACTGCCAAAAATAATTCAGTCATACAGTAATATTAATGCTTTCTGATTCTCATACTATACAGTAATTCCAGCAGTATTTTATATAAACATTATGTTTTCTGTATTACCATTTTAAAACTAAGATTATGATTTTAGATTACAAATTGTTCCTTTTTAACCTTTCTAATCTAATTTTAATTTATGTACTGTACTGTATATAAATGAATAAACAGTATTATTTTTACTTCAGGTATAATATTGTCAATAATTTAATGTAACGTCTTGTTAATTACTGTATCTACAGTACTGTATAATTATTATTTAATGAATAATATTATTTGCCAATTTTCAATTTATATTATTACCAGACCAAAATAAATGACAAATGTTATTTTTTAAATGTCGCAAAATGTCCAGGTTGCTCTAACAATTTAAAATAACAATGGTGGCTGTGGTGATGAAACTGTACTCTTATCCTAGTAATTGTTGATAATAATTAATAAGAATATAATAAAAATATCCTAACTGATACCGGAGGAATTGTTAATATCAATTTACCTTTGGCTATTTGGCGTATTCTTCTGTTTCTACATGCATGCTCATCATGTAATGAAGGCCCTAATACATCTTAGTGTTCTAGTTAATTAGATTTAACAATTGATTGCTTAAATTTGGAGGTCAAGGGTCATGTACAAAATGATTTACCAATACTACTTAGTAAAAATCTTCCTAATTTTATTATCATTTATCTTTAAAAATACTGTGTGTATTTAGTTAACAATAACTAATGTTTTTGTAATTCTTACAGTACTAGAAATTGAATAATTAAAAGAATTCCTGCAAAATTAATTGATCACATAACTAAATGATTTTTCATTTCAGAAACATCTTTCATATGAATGGAAACAATTTAGTTCTTTTAAACTGGACTCACTAGCAAGCAATCTGTCTTGGATTCAGGATGGTACATTTTTTTTTGTGTTATAAATAAGCTGTCAGCTCTCGAATCTGTCTGCGTTTTGTGTGCATTTCATGACGCAGTGCCAGTTACAGATTGTCTGAGCAGGTTGTTCGTCATTAAAATTGATCCGTTGCATGTGTCTCCACGTGTTGCGTTCACTATTCAATTGTGTCGGCCAACGACTGTCGACACAGTGTGTCTGGTTTAAAAATGCAGATAAAAACTGACATAATACTAACAATAACATTTCCACACATAGATGAAATATAACTACTTGTTATAAGTTTAAACAACTCTAATTGTTCTTACAAAGAAATTTGTATTCACACTCGCATTCTCCAAATATGGACTATTCATGTCCCAACATGGGCCAATGTCCCCGATGGAAGCACAAATTGGCTTAGTCATGGGCCAGCTAATGCCCACTGCAGATGCTCTAACAACTTAAGGATTTTAAGGCTTTTTAATAGATTTTAGAGTCTCATAATCTGTTAGTACATTATTGTTTTCTCCCTAATTTTGTTAAGTTTCCAAACAAGGGGAGTTAGCTCTCCCTGATACGGGTATAATACCCCTTGTCCATTAGCGGTGCACCCATTGGGCAATAAAGCACTTAGAGACAAGTTGACACAAGTCCAATATAAATGTCAACAATTATTAATGATTATTATAAAAATGAATTGAAATACTATAATAATAGTGAATAATAAAAAGATTAATGCAGCTGTCAGAATACAAGTAAAATTCTTCATCTTTGAGAAAAATTATGAATAAATAATGAGAACATTTAAAAAATGAACACACAACCAATTTATGAAGCAGCTAGTATTACCAAGACATATTTATATCTAATATAAATAAATAATATATTAAAGCTGCACAGTATTCCTTAACATACATGAGGCTGGTCTGAGTAAGCCTACTATCATTGGTAATTGTCTTTTTCTTGTTTTTCATTATGATAGGGTCTAAGTTGCTAACAGGAAGTGATTCCATTCAGTTGTGGGCATGCTCCGTGGCAGCAGACGAGACACCGGATAGCGAGACCAGTGCTACAGTCGGCTCACCAGAGAGTAGCTCTGCCAGCAACAATGCAGTTTGGGAATGCATTTGGCAATGCAAGTATGTATACCTCATATCTTCCTCTTGTAAAAATAATGATAATAATATATGATAATAATAATTATTATAATTAATTTATGTTCATATGTGCATTACAATAAAATATATATTATGTAAAAATATCAATATCTTACAAAAATTTGTTTGGACAAAATCAAACATAAATCATTTGGTCAGAATTATAGAGTGAAATATACAATACAAACAATGAAAAGAACATCAAATAAAAATGCAACAACAGTGGAAAATCAAGTTAAAAATCCACCAAAATAAATTAAGCCTGATTTTTCTCTTTTTGTAAATGCTCAGATAACAAAATCCACTAAGGTCTAAGGATGTCTTAAAAATTTTATATTGCTATTTTACCTATTTCAATAAAAGTACAGATTTATCAGCTGATCTGAAAAATAATTAAACCATTCCAAATATTGCAAAGGAAGTTAATTAAATAACAGCTTACCAAAGAATAAACACATCTATTGAAAAATTAATGACAGACTAAATGACCACTTAAAGAGAGTCATGGAAGCGATTAGTGTTGCAGTGTCTACCCAAAATGGAACATTTTAGCAGAAGATGATGATGATTAAAGATGTTCTGACTGAATTTATCCAATCAGAACAGTAGCAAATGTGTCTCCTCGTATTAGAACCAATTTATCTAGAACTTCATTTGAAATTCCTTCTTAGGATTATACTGTTTTCTGTTTAGGATTATACTATTATCTACCGGAAAATTTAAAATTAATTTGATTTCCTTGAGGCATCGTAGTTAACAAACATGTTGTAGTTCAATTGTCTGGTTCAATTCAATCACTGCTCTCGTTGTGTTTCAGCTTGTAAGCTATCAGAAGATGTGTCTCAGCCTGTGTGTATTAGTGTCCCATATGGTGTCTACTGTGGAAGTACATGACCATCCTTATATACATGTTAAAGTGCACTTTTTTGATGACCAAACTGTTTTTTGAGGGATTTTTTTTTAGAAATTACAATACAAATAAAGAAAGTATTCCGTTTTTCTAAATATCTTTTCATAATAATTTGATGTCCACAGAACAGCAACACCTATATATCATCTCAAATTTTCACCTGATGGACAATATTTTGCATCTGCTGGAAAGGTAAAGCTTTGGTGAACAGTTGGTATCAATTGTAGTGAGAGTGAAACATTAGCTTTTATTTAAAGTGCTTGTTTTCTAATCCCAGAATAATCATTTTCTATAATTAATACACCATGAACTCACTATTTCACTTTTTAATCACTTTCTATAAGTGGTAATCCCTTCAACAAGACAAACTTTCATAGTTCAGTTAGTTTATAGGTTAGGGAGTGGAATTGTTTTTTGTCACAAGCAAAGTTCATTTATATTAATTAAACCTATAATTCTAGGATTTTAATTCAAGAATCTTAGTCACCATGGTACATCTTAATGGACCTTTCAGGAGTTTCAGGCAAACTTTAAATATTGGCCAATCAGAAGAGGATCAGAAATATGCACGTCTCACAAACACAGATGTTCATGCAGGGGCGGATCCAAAATTTTTCAAACCGGTGGGGGTTGGGAGGGGCACAACAGGTTCAGAATAGATAAGTCGAGTAGCACATAACATTAATATGCATCGAAATTTTTAAAATTTAGTGGCAAAATGGAGGTGGGGGGAACCGGGGGTTTAGCCAGAAATACAAAATAGGCCGTCCAAACTGGAAGCCAGTGGGTGTGGCTCTGAGCCGATAGGCAGGTCACGCCTCCTCACGCCACTCGGGGCCATGCCCCCTCCCAAAAATAATTGAAAAAAATAGAATATTATGATCATTAAGGGGCATTTAAAGGTGTTAAATTTTTTTTTTTTATACTACAAAGATATTTCGGTTATAGACATAGATTGCGCAGGGCTACGGTTACTCACATAATATTTCTAGGCTATGCAGATGCATCTTCATCTCTCGCCTTAGTCTAATGTAAATTCTACTCTAGGTCCTCCGAATCGAGAGATAGGCCTACAATAAACCTACTGTATTTTGTTGACTAATAAAATTTAACTTGTTAACAACAAATCTTCTTTACGGTATTTGATGAATTAATTACAACCAGATAATTACAAACACAAAAAATATTATGTCGGGAAACGAAATGCAGAGCCACATGCATGCGTTGTGGGCTACTCAAAACTGTCCATTTTCCAGTGGGGTATTAATATTTTTGTAAATGTTGTAAGTGAACTTTTCACCGGGTAGACGATGGTTAAGCCTTACATTTTTGGGAATCCCCACCGAATATTGTTATGAAAACAACGTACATTCAATCAATAAAGGTTGTTTTTATCAAACGGAAATATGATTTAGCTTTAGTTTAATGTAACATTCGATAGATTTAAAGAATATTATGGCTACGCTTGAGTTAAGACCGGCTCAACGTTAAGCCTGGCTTAACTTTGCGGGGCGTTCAGACTAGCGGGTTTAGCCAGACGAGAATTTGCAAAATAATGAATCGTAACTAGGAAACGTGTTTCAAAACATTGTTTGCGAAATGTACGCTCGCTCACAGCGTACGTAATTGAATGCTGATTGGTCATTTCGTTACCCGAAGTCAATGCAAGACCCCCCACAATGATTAAAGCCCGGCTTAGAAAAGTTAAACACGGTGGCGTGCCAGGCCTAGTTACTATAGGAACACAGCCCGGCTTGAGATAAGCCATCTAGTTCAGACTGGAAGGTGGATAAACCCGGTGAGTTGAGCTGGGTTTATCCACCTAGTCTTAACTAGGCCAAAGAATTTGCTAAAGGTAGACATGTACATTTGCGCTGTCATTTTGTGGAGCCTGCAATAATATCAAAGGGACAGGGCTTAGGAGAATTTTCCATTGTGCATGCACTTATAAAGATATGAAATGAATCATATACAAATACTAATGTAGTGAGATCAGTTAGATTTATTGCAGTAGGCTCGTAAATATGTGGTAGGGTTCGACTTCCTTAGGTGTCCCCTTGGGCAAAGGCAGTTTACATTTCAGGAGTATGAATGGGAACTGGATATGATATATGAATATTTTGAGCTGCACTGCAGTATAAATAGGCTTACCTCCCACCCCAGGGAGCAGACAACGTTGCAGGATTTGGTGGATAAGACTCAAGGGAAGTAGACAAACTTATTTATGTTGATGGGATTTGCAGGAAAAATCTATAAGCTGCCAAAAAAAAAACTAACTCGTAATGCAAGGTGACCTACTGTAATATTTCAGAGAAAGGCCCACAAATGACAATGATATTAGGGATTCAATGATTTCTTTATTGACTCGTGACTTTTAACATCACTATGTCTGCTGAGTTATTAGCTCATTATTATTAATGAGGAATAAATAATGTAAGGCCAATATATTTATTGTTAGACAAGGCCTATATAATGATGTGTTGATTATAATTCCATGTGTAATAAATGTTTGGTCACTATTTTCCAGGCGGATAGACTTGTAAAAATTTGGCACCGTGCGAGGAAAGCCACCTTAAACGCCACAGTAGCTAATCCTGTCACAGAGTGTTCAGATGAAAAGTATTCATTTGTTTATATCGCCCATCCGAGGGCCATCACTGGTTTCTCATGGCGAAAGACCAGCAAATATATGCCAAAGTAAGTGTTACTTATTATATTTCAGACAAACTTCAAGATGAATATTTGGGCTTGCCATTCCAAAACCAACATGAGTGACCAAAAAAAGAAAATTATGTTTTTAATATAATTATTTTCTCCACACTATAAACTTTAAAGTGATAGGTCATTTACTAGAATTGACTTACTATTGGCAAAGTTATGAGTAAAAGTATTACAGCTTGTTTCTCTGTACTAAATTATACGATGCTGCCACATTCTCATGCTAATTAGTATTCATTATTCTTAATCTACAGCTTATTGTATATTACATAGGCCTATATACAGTATTTGTGTCCATGTATAGAATGGTGAGGCCCACAGGCCCCAATGGTCTCCTCCTCCTAGCTTACAGTAGGTTCTTTTTTAATATATGAAAAATAATAAAAGTTTATAGCAAAACTGTTACCATAACCCAACCGAGTAATATGACAAGAATTCTCGTCAAAAGATGCAATAACTCGATAACTACAGTACCTATAGTGTCATATATCCATCAATATAAAATATTTATATAGAATGCTAGATACTTGTTATACTGAGCTATATCAATTTATAAATGTAGCTAATTTGCACTGAAAGCACTAAAGGACTGAATAATTTGTCCATTAAGTATGTTCTACAGATACTTAAATTTTCAAATGGTGACTTGCTTAAATTAATAACAGCTTCTCATTGGAAATGTTCAACATATATAATAATATCTGAGGTCAGAATTCAGAATAAATATGATTACTTTTATTTGGAAGCATTTTTAGTATGGAAATGGTAACATAATTATGCTTCAAAACTGTATAATTTTATTACTATTAGTCAAACATTACTTGTAGCACGATTGATCTCTTGAAGCGGCATCAAACATTGCTTGCAGTGCAATTTAATATTGCTTCCAGCACCATGCATTGCTTCTAATGCCGTACATTGCTTCCAGTGCCGTGCATTGCTTCCAGCACCATGCATTGCTACCAGCGCCGTGCATTGCCACCAGCGCCGTGCATTGCTTCCAGCGCCGTGCATTGCTTCCCGCGCCGTGCATTGCTTCCAGCGCCTTGCATTGCTTCCAGCGCCTTGCATTGCTTCCAGCTCCTTGCATTGCTTTCAGTGCTGTGCATTGCTTCCAGCGCCGTGCATTGCTTCCAGCGCCGTGCATTGCTTCCAGCGCCGTGCATTGCTTCCAGCACCGTGCATTGTTTACAGTGCCGTGCATTGCTTCCAGTGCTGCGCATTGCTTCCTGTGGATTCTGGAATTATACAAATTGTTACAATTGACTGATTCCAATTATCTACTTACAAATATAAAACAAATTCACCTTAAATACATTAGATGGCAACTCTTTAGGCCTGCTCATTAAAGTAAAATAATGCTGGCTATGTAATATTATAGGCAAATTTTTAGGGAGCAAGGTTGATGATGGTGGTGATGGTGTCACTAGTGCCTAGAGTCTGTGCAAGTGCCCAGAATTCCAGGCCTGCTTTGAGCCACGACACATCATTTTTTTCAAGATTTAGTCTATATGAAATTAACTAAGCATCAAAATATATAAAATGCATATGGGGCATACAAAAAAAGCTGTACTGTTAATTCGTGTAGCATCAACATATAAAAGGCTACAAAATGAACAACTTTGTGAGAAACAAAAAGAAAGGAGGATAAGCATTAGGAACTAAATATACACAAAACAGTGCAAAAACAAAACCGATAATGACATTTGAATTTTTCAGGGGATCCGTTGCAAATATTTTGGTGACGTCATGTCGAGATAATATCTGCCGTATTTGGTGTGAGACACTACTTCCCGATCTCAACCTCTTTGAAGACAACTCTCAGCGTCCGGCAGGAAGCACTTTTGAAATTGGCCGTCAACATTCCTCAATACGGAGGCCAACGTTCAACATTAATTTAAGACATAGGTTTGTAGAAAAGGATTATTGAATGCATTACTGAAATATTCATGTTCAATTTATTCTACTTGTATTCATATTGTGTGTGTGTGTGTAATTTTATGTATGTAATTTTACTTTTCAGTTACATTTAATGATTGATATTTGGCAGAATTGTTCTTCAATGTCTTTTCATAAATTGCTAGAGTCTAGTGTTAGTTAAAACAAAGCATTATACTATCAGGATTGTTTTTTAAGCTTAACATAGACATGCTATATCCTTAAGCATATTGATGTTTGTTAAGTAATTGTCTGGAAGCCAGCATTCATTTTATTAATTACTGTATACCTCAACTGCCCACACATGCTTTTGTACCATGTGACACGCCTACATATAGTTATTATTGTTATACAGTAAAGATGATATGGAAATGTGGTAAAGGAGTCACCTGCTATCCCAGGGACTTGTATTCCAATCCTACAACCAACAGAATTTATCTTAAGATATTATTATATTATAATGATTACTGTACATATTCACATTTATATATTTTTAGTAACCTACTTATAAATATCTATCTCATGACTGTAAAATACCTCACAATTAAACACTATGGTATTAATGCATGTGTAGTACTGTATGTGCAAATTGTATTCAGATAGCTTTTGGTATGCTGCACCTAGTAATGCATTTGGCATATGTGTCAAAAACTGTCAAACACATTAGCACTAAGTAAACTAAATTCGTTCGAACATCCACTTCACACAAGAGCTATGTGCTTATGGCAAATGCCACTATTGACCTTTGGCGTAAGCAGATAGCTCTTCTGTGCAGCAGGTCTGGAATAGCTTCAAAAGTCTTATTCCATCTTGATAAATTGGAGATTCACTTGCTTTTTGGTGAGAATAATGAAGCACATGGCATAGCATTAAGGTAGGAAAATGCAGGAAATTGAGGTTTGAGGTTGGCCTCTTGTATGTGCCTTGTTATTTATTAATGCCAATGCACCAGTTACTAACTGCAGCAATATAAAACACTTCCCAATGTTCAGTAGCTTTTTTAGTCCAATGATCATTTTAATATTATATGAAGTACTTACAGATGTTTGGAAACATGCAAGATGTACTAAGGCTGACACAATTTTTAGGAAGCGTTGAATTATCAATAATTATCAAGAAAAAATGTTATTCAATTAATTATTAACATTTTTATGTTCCTTTATTCATTTAAGTTAAATATTAGATAATATTATTTGTTTTCATGCAGAAGGCGTAGAAGGTCTAGTGAGCAGTTGCAGGCTTCCAGAGGCCCTTTACCCAGTCATGAGAAAGGGCATGAAACGCATCATTTACTCCAGGAGAATTTGCAAACAAATGGTCATGGCATCTTACCTGTTCACTTTCATATTGCCTCTACCATTAATCCAAACACAGGTAAGTATATTAACCTTAGAGTTCATATTCAAAGTTTTGGTCGTGGCTAGGAAATTTGTCTAGGGGTGACCTTAGGCAATTACAGTGCAATTGCACCTGAACTTTATTCCAAAACATGTATAGTTCGGTGGCCCTCACCAGCTGATGGTGAGATGGTAAACTGGGGGTTTTGTTTGGATTTTTTCCCTGCATAGAAGTCATGTTGTGGACAGGATCAACAGGATAATTGTCAACATATAATATAGTCCTAGTAAATCTTTTGCACTTTTTTTTAAAAGTTACTTATTTCTTTTTCAAAGATATTCCACTGTTACCAGCTTTGAGCTCAATGTCGGGTAGTAAAACGCCAAACTTTGTAGTCAACTGGTTAAACAACAAGGAACTTCAACTTACACTTGTTGCCGAGACCATTCTACAAGAGAAGCAATCCACAAACCTAGGCCTACACGACAGAATATTCCGAGAGCAGTCTAGTGATGAATCATCTGGAGATGAAGGTAGGAACTAATAGGAGAATCATGAATTTGTTAGGCCTAACAGCCAGTTTGCATGGCACAATAAAGGATCTTAATTTGTCAATTAAAAAGTCTATTAAAAAAAATTGTGTAAAACGTATCAAATTTCAAAGGAGATTAGATATATGTATTTAATAACACACAACCATCATGAAAATATGTGTGTATCTTAGGAAGTAGTATTTTTAATTAATCTAATGTATTTGACCTTACAAATATGAAGGATAGAAAATTTTTATGTGTACAATAAGTGACATATTCAGTGAAACAATGTTTAATGATATGTTTGACATACCATAATATGGGAGTGATGGATTGAGAAAGTAGTTAGGCTGAGGCATGATTTGTTCCTTATTTTGGGTCAAGGATTGACTACAAACTTTGATAAGTGTCATACTTGTATAATTTTGCTTGAAAATCAATGGAAAGTGAAAGATTGCTAACATTTTAATGTTCAATGCATCGCTAGTTGCCATTTGAAATATTCAAACTTTTTTTTATAAGTATAAATATAAATTTACTGGTTATGTTTTCTTCAACATTGTTAATAATTCTCTAATTAGAATAATGATTCATCTATATTCAGGATTTTCTGCTCATATCAATGGACTTATTAATATTAATCCTTTCATTAAAGTGAGAAAAAGCTTAAAATGACATTTCCATGAAACAAATTACTCTGGAATATGAGGTCTTCAGATCTTGTGTGTGATTTCACACATTCTTGTCAGCATTGGCCTGGCTTTTAACATGCTGAATAATAATGAAATGAAGTTGAATATAATAAGTGGAGTTGAATAGCTTGGTGTTTAAAATGCTTGCCTTCTAATTTCGGCGTCTTGGGTTGAATTCCTATCACGCCCAAAATAACTCCACTCCCTAAGCCTCATATTGAGATTTAGGACTGTAAAGCCGGTTACTTACTGTGTGCGATGGCGACACGACGGCAACGCGACGAAGAACGCATGCGAAGACGCGGACCTGGATTTGTTGTACGATGTAGTGAGTGTCCGGCTTAAAGCACCATGTGCTTGTGTGTTGTGTTCGTCTTGTGAAAGGGATTGTTAACCTACAAGTAGGACAGTGATATATTTGCAATGACAATCCTTGGTGCATGTGTTGTGTGACTAAATAAATAAATAAATAATATAAAAAACTTTTTATATCTGTTGTTATGTATGGCCAGTGCTGTGCATTACCCATCATTCCATAAAATGTGTCTGACAGTTTGGCATGTCAAAATGATTAATGCATCTGTGCTTCACATAACGTGCATAATAATAACGTTAAGCAAAGTGTGCTTTCATGTTTTATCTGTCATACTTGTTTAATTAGACTTTGCCTCAGCTCTGCCATGTTTTATTGATCATTCAATGAGAAGATAAACAGTAATTTCACACTTAAAATTCTCCATATTTTATTTATGAAATTTAGACTCTACTAGGAGCCTGTATTTTCTGAGTTTGTTCTGTTAGATTCTCATTTATGTTATTCATTTAAAAAAAAATCTTTGTCCAAGTAGGTCCTTGGAACTACTATATAAAATCTTTGTTACTCCTCTATTATTATAAATCATTTACTAATATTAACTCACATTTGTTTTAATTTATTGTGCTGAAAAAAACTGTTATAAAATTAACAAAAATACTAAAAATATAGAGGTCCACACCACTATAATTTTTCTGGATAAGCATATATTTTAATAGATTTTGCCTTAGAGAAAATATTTTCTCTTTGAAATATTCAATCAAAATCAAATTTTACTCACAATGCAAAATAAGAATTCAAATATTGATTTTTTTTTTTACAAGGTTTTGAACTCGATAATGGATAATACAAATATTTACAAAACATAATCTTACACAATTTCTAGTTCATGAATATTCATATAGAATAAGTTATGTATGCACAATCTACTCGTACAGTAGACCGACAACGTGCACATTAATATATACGCACATTATTAAAGTGACTGCTCTATTTTCAGTAACCGTAGAATGATAAATGTTTGCTATTTGATCCAGTGAATAATGTTGCTTTAAGTTTATAGGTTGCATCACTATGTATTGAATTATAAATGTATTCCAAAAAAAACCAAAAAATAAATGAAATCTCTAAAAATGCATGCATGGTAATTGATAACAATGAAAATATATTATTATAAATGTTTTAAAAGAAAAAGATACCATATGGTAATTGATAACAATGAAAATATATTATTATAAATGTTTTAAAAGAAAAAGATACCATATGGTAATTGATAACAATGAAAATATATTATTATAAATGTTTTAAAAGAAATAGATACCATAAACAAACTAAAAAAAATTAGATCATTCCAAAAAAACAAATATATACCAGTATAAATAATATTCATATTCTTGATTTATTTCAGATGAGCTGTCAACACCACCTTTTGATGAAGATGAATTGAATTCCAGAGGTAATTTAGCAAATAAAATTTATGAAATAATTATGATATCAAATAATAAATTATCTTTAGTGTCTGACAGGTATCTGAAATCCTTCATCCGTACTCAAGAATATTTAATAAAATAGAGTCTGTGTTGAAATCTGAAAGGAGAAAAAATAACCTTGAGAATTCAAGTAAAACATTAAATTGATCATTTTGAGAATCAAATTAAAATTGAGACATGGATCATTGCTAAATTGCAGACTGAAATTCTCATATTACCAACCACTTTATGACCTATGAAAAGAATATGAATATTAATTATTTTTAATGTTTAATTCATTAGTATTTATACATATTATCAAGACTTGCTGATACAATGACATTGTTAATTTGTTTGTTCTTCCAGATATTCCGGATTCAATTACTGCGCCAGATACACTGCCACAAATAACTGTCGAGAGACCAAGCACGCTAACACCGGGAAATAACATGAAGCGTGTAATTTCTGAACCAATATTCCAATCTCCGCAGCCCCATCCTCTGGATGACTTACAGAAACGCTTAGACTCTCTGATGAGGGACTGGTACAAATCATCAGACATGCTCTTTGCTATCCATCCTGTTGATGGCTCGTTCCTTCTATGGCTTGTCGACTACCTTGATGAAACGTCTCCCGGTACACACCGTCAAGCACAAGTCAGTTTCTCTTGCAGGATACCGCTCGCATTTCCTGTGGGAGATGCTACAACACTCTGCAGTAATATAGTAATGTACCGCTCCAATCTAGTTGTTGATCCGAGAGCTAATAAAAGATTGATAGAGCCGACAACACCTGGAATGACGCCAAGTTATAGTTTTTCTCAGAGACTGGGCCAGCTTCCGCCTGGTATAAACATTTATGCATTCACGCCTAAAGTCTGTATGCTTTCAAAACATATAAATGGAACATTAAACCAATGGGAGATTAGTTTTGCTGAAACTTCAAAGTTTCAAACGGTGTTGAGCGTGTCGCATAAATCACGCTGTTGTGGACATCGTTTCCGCTTGAATGACCTGCAGTGTCATCCTATACTACCACTTTTATTAACCACTTCACATCACAATCTGCCACAGGTGGAAGTAGATCCTGAGATCATGCAGGGTCACACCAGACGTGGCTCCGTAACAGCTCGGAGAACCTCCTTAATGAGAAGATCTAGCTCGATTAGTCTCTTTGGTAAAAGTATACTCTCAGAGTCTGAACATGTAAGGCTATCAGCTCTTTACAACTCTACTTTAGAGGGAGCTAGCCGTGATAACTTTGATAGTGATGAAGTGGTTGTCCCAGATGCTCTGATGGAGAAACTTAACAGCGAAATGAACTGGCCCGATATGAGTGCTCCGACCGGTTTGTGCAGCGAACTGATTCTATGGCGAGTCTTCCCTGTCGGACCGCTATCAAAATCTGGTGGTGTAATGGAGTTAGCACGTATTAACTCGCCATTCTTGAATGCCTTTTCTCACGTTGCTTGGCTTCCCTGTCTTCTACCAAGTTCCTGTCTTGGTCTTTCATCAAATTCTCC